ATTATAACCCTCAGGCAGTAGAATTCTCCTTTCTGTTTTGCGAAGAAAAGGAGCTGAACACCTTTTGCAGAGAACACCTTTGTATATTTTTAATGCTTACTGGGTTATATCCTATCTTCTTTTGTCTCTCATTCTTTTGCATATTTTGGAGTTTGACAGCTGAACTCCGCCATTTAATTTGCATATGCAACCAAAGTCAGACGCGTGATTTTGAAGGTGTTTTTATTTAATGAATTGTGATGAATTGGTTAATATTTAAGTCGTAAAGCAAGTTATAACAAATCAAGTAAAGTGTAAAGTGAAGGGGAATACAAAAATATATTGGTGAAGTGGCTAATTTAAGCAGAATAGGAGTGATAAATGTACGCTAATTTCCGAATTTTACAAAAGGCATATTTCAAACACAATTTGTAAATGAATTAGTAACCAAAATTTACAAAAGTGAGTGTTAAAATATTGCGTGGACCCTTGACTACAAGTGTGTGAAATTTTTTTTGGATCGGACCACCCATTTGGACGGAATAGCCCGAAATAGTTGTGAGCGGTACTAAACCCCACCCAAAATTTTAGTTTGGCATCCCCCGCGTACAAAAAAAGGTGGCTATGGGGGGGTAGGGGGAGTTCTCCTGATTGCAAATATATATACTTTTAGCCGCAGGAGGCTTATAGTTTTTAAGTTATTTGTTGTTAAAGTTTGTAAATTGAACTAACCTCGGCGCTATTTCACACAATAAGCACTATATTTATGTAGACACTTTGGCAAAATAGTTGCATTAAAACCCCGCACAATGAAATGTAAACATACTTTTTACATTTATGATGTATTTTTAGTAAATTAAGTAAGTTTTAATAATTATCACGCACTTATATATGTATACGCACATTGTGAATACAGAACCGTTGATTCAACCATGGTTTCACACTGACATTAGAAGAGTGCAGCCACATCTAAGAAAATAACAATAAAAGAGAATAGTTTTTATCGTACCCATTTTCCTGCTCAGCGTTGAATTAGTAGTAAAGGAGGGTATGGGGTTAAATACCCCCAATAAAAAAAAAACTGACGAGCGCCGCCGGCGAAAATTTTTAATAAAAAATCGCGCGATTTTTTATTAAAAATTTTCATTATTTATCAAATTAACGATGTACGTTTTCTACATTTGTGTAATTTGAACTACAATAACACCAGTAAATATTATCTCCACCCGAACAATCCCAAGATGGTCGGTTCTACGTACCGGATTGACTCGGAGAACCCACTCCGACCAAGGACCATCACCACAGCAGCAACCCCCCAAATTTTTTGCCATGGGAGCATGACCCACCGGCAAGTCTGCTCCGTATTCTACTGGTCCGCGCCGGCATAGAACAAAATCCCGGGCCCTGGATCTGTAGTGTTTGCCACCGCAACATACACCACTCCTCAACCTCTGTCCGCTGCAACCGCTGCAACGCCTGGTGCCATCTAAAGGCATGCTCAGGTCTTCGGCACCACAGGGAGTGGAGTAACAATTTTGTTGCATCGTGCTGCAACAACCAACAAACCTGTGGTAGAAGTTATAGCAGCTATTTCGGAGATCACCACATCTCCTCATCAGACTTCT